ACATTTGGCATTACAGGGTTAACGAGCAGTTTTCCGTCTTTGTTTGTGTCTTTGCTTAATCTTTGCCGTAACAATAAAGGAAATACGTTTTCTACTTCATTCAGAAATCTTTCAGCCCATACGTGATCAAACAAATGTGAGCGACCCCAGCAATAAAGCTCCCAGCAGGTCTTCCTGTTTGCTTTCATTAGTTTAATTACAAGTTATGCCGGCTGCTGGGTGAATGACAGTCTGTTTTCCATCCACACAAATGAGTTGTTTCCTCTGTAAATGGATGGGAGTTTCACCTCCACACGGATGACACTGGTTTGTTTTTATTGATTAAATGATGAAAACAACCTCTAAGGAGGAGTTTCTAGAGCTTTCATTTGGGGGTTGTGACTTAAACCTTCATCTGATGCAGTTTTCCAGCTGTTTTAAGGTTTGTTTTGTGTCATTCTGTCAACATTATTCACAGGAACCTGAAACTATGAATGAATCTATGGAGCTTAGAAGGTGCTACCCAGGAATTCTGAACACAAAAGCCATTTAGACTTAGACATTTACACCAGGGGTGCTCACACTTTTTCCCATGGGAGCTACTTTTGAAATGACCAAGTCAAAATGATCTACCCGTTATATTGATTGAGAAATATATTGAGGATTCTTACAACTTATGTTAATGTATAACCACATATGTTGCACAACAACACAACATAATTACGTTTAAGAGGAAAAAACGAGCGATAAATTAGGATGTAACTACCGACTAGCGTGTTAGCTTAGTTGCGCTCAGGGACCTAATTGTACGGAAAAAAATCAGATGTCATCAGACTGGTTTTAATTGTTAATTGTTTTATTGTTTTAATATCGCTGATTATGGCTTACAGCTTAAGAAACCCAAATATCCTATCTCAAAATATTAGAATATCGGATTTTTTAGTTTTCTTCAGCTGTACGCCATAATCAGCTATATTAAAACAATAAAAGGCTTGCGATATTTCAGTTGATTTGTAATGAATCCAGAATGTGTGACATTTCATGATTTTTAATGGCATGACAGAAAATAAAGAACTTCATCACCATATTCTAATTTTTCTGAGACAGTCCTGTAGTGCTGATATTTGGTTTGACCAGTCTTCTACAAAGTTTGTATGTCTGGAAGAAATTAAAATAAAAAAAAGGGGTCCAATGGAGGGCAGCCACGGAGCAAAGCGAAACTAAACCCAGTTGTGTTTGTACTGATTACCTGTAGTTTTTTGGTGAGGCGGGAGAACATGTGGGAGACGCAGTGGGGGAGGGCTCCGGTCTGGTGGAGCAGAGTTAGGCCTCTGGGCGTGGCAGCAAAGTTCAGAAGGCTGTCCAGTAACGTCTCCTCCCAGACCCGCCTGCCTCACAAGCACAGAGACAGATCGAAATCCTTTAATTTTTCTGACCCACAAACCCATACATGTCAAGTCAAATGTCTGGGAAAGAGCCGTTTTTTACCATGAAAAAGCAACAAAACTAAACACGCTTTTTTGTTATTGGTGAGTTGTGTAGAGACAGATTAGCCAACAACAAAACTACACATCTTTTTTTGTTATTTGCGTGTTGTGTAGAGAAAGATTAGCCTGGTCTGAAACTATCTCAAACAAACAACAACAAACTATCTCAAACAAACAACAACAAAACAACACATGTTTTTTTGTTATTTGCGTGTTGTGTATTGGCAGTTTAGCCTGGTTTGAAACTATCTCAAACAAACAACAACAAAACTACACACCTTTTTTTGTTATTGGTGAGTTCTGTAGAGACAGATTAGCCTGGTCTGAAACTATCTCAAACAAACAACAGAACTACACACGTTTTTTTGTTATTGTTGTGTTGGCGTGTTGTGTAGAGACAGATTAACCTGGTCTGAAACTATCTCAAACAAACAACAACAAACTATCTCAAACAAACAACAACAAAACTACACACGTTTTTTTGTTATTGTTGTGTTGGCGTGTTGTGTAGAGACAGATTAACCTGGTCTGAAACTATCTTAAACAAACAACAAAACTACACATGTTTTTTTGTTATTGGCGTGTTGTGTAGAGGCAGATTAACCTGGTTTAAAACTATCTCAAACAAACAACAACAAAACTACACGTTTTTTTTGTTATTTGCGTGTTGTTTAGAGACAGATTAACCTGGTCTGAAACTATCTCAAACAAACAACAACAAAACTACAAAAAAATGTTGTTATTGGTGTGTTGTGTAGAGACAGATTAACCTGGTCTGAAACTATCTTAAACAAACAACAAAACTACACATGTTTTTTGGTTATTTGCGTGTTGTGTAGAGACATATTAGCCAGGTTTGAAACTATCTCAAACAAACAACAAAACTACACGTTTTTTTTTGTTATTGGTGAGTTGTGTAGAGACAGATTAACCTGGTTTGAAACTATCTCAAATAAACAAGAAAACTACACATGTTTTTTTGTTATTGTTGTGTCGGCGTGTTGTGTAGAGACAGATTAGCCTGGTCTGAAACTATCTCAAACAAACAACAACAAAACTAAACATGATTTTTGTTATTTGTGTGTTGTGTAGAGGCATTTTAGCCTGGTCTTAAACTATCTCAAACAAACAACAACAAAACTACACATGTTTTTTTGTTATTGTTGTGCTAGCGTGTTTGTTTTGTAGAGACAGATTAACCTGGTCTGAAACTATCTCAAACAAACAACAAAACTACACGTTTTTTTGTTATTTGCGTGTTGTGTAGAGACAGTTTAGGCTGGTCTGAAACTATCTCAAACAAACAACAACACTACACACGTTTTTTTGTTATTGGTGAGTTGTGTAGAGACAGATTAACCTGGTTTAAAACTATCTCAAACAAACAACAAAACTACACAAGTTTTTTTGTTATTGGCGTGTTGTGTAGAGGCAGATTAACCTGGTTTGAAACTATCTCAAACAAACAACAACAAACTATCTCAAACAAACAACAACAAAACTACACAAGTTTTTTTGTTATTGGCGTGTTGTGTAGAGACAGATTAACCTAGTCTGAAACTATCTCAGCATAAGGCATCGTTCACTGTTCAGAAATGTTTCTATCTGAACTGTAAACTGAGCGGAGATTCGGACTTGCTCATTTCTGCTTTAAAAACATAAAAGACGAGATTTACAGATGCAAAATAATCTTTTTCTTTGTCATAAAATACTGCACGCTCCAGACGTTTGAGGGACTGATCTAAATAGCTCATTTATTTTTGTGTCAGTGTGTGTGTGACATTACAGGTCTGTTGTCTCCTGGGTGGACCCTTTAACTGGAGTTGGCCCCCTTTCTGAAACAGAGCCGACCTAAAAATGAAGAGGAAACAAGTGCGTTCACACCAGGAAACCTACGATACAGTGGGAGAAATAAAAAGGATCTTTAACCAATCAACAATGGCTTCACAGTGCCGGACATTTCTGGGTTTTGCTTGAGGGGACACGATAAAACGGAGCTTTGAGAAGCACGCCATTAAAATGTCATTATTCCAAAAAATGTCCAACCACATGACTCTAGTAAAAAGCAACATGTGGCTGTGCAGTACGTGATGGAGGATATCAAACATGTATAAAGATAAAGTCAGGAGGAAGGGAATGGGAACGTCCTGTGAACCGATTCCAAACTCTCATCAAGTTAATTTTTGACATGACTATTTTAGATAAGGACCAGTTGCTGTGGTGAAATACAACCAACTAAATAGCTGAATAAATAAAAAAGGGTGTAGTGAATGTAGGGAAAGTCTTCTATAAAATTCTCTGTAATTCTACTATTACAGAGGGAAATTTGTTTTTTATTCCAGGTTTGTTTTTCTTCAACCATCACTGAATGAATTCTGAATAAAAATGTTTTGTTATGAATAATGATGGTTTGTTGATTCCCCAAACGGCAAGAAAAAGTGTTTTAGTTTTTAATCTGCATTCATGAGAATTTCTGCTCTCTTGATGATGTGAAAAAGGATCTTGAACAGCCTTTTATCGTTTTTAGGGCTTCGTCAAGCAAAACTATCCGGCAAAGGGTTATATTTGTTGTGTTTTAGAGAATCTTTCTCAAGCTAAAACACTCAAATGAGATATGACAACACAAATAATGTGTTAAATTGTTTTTTTTATGTCTTATCAGTTTATATTCGACATTCATTTGAGTAAAAATAATGGAATATATGCCCAGATACTCCCAATCCACACACCCTCCAAAAGAAGCTCTGAAAAGCTGGTCTTTACCTAGAGTAAAATTCAGTTTAAGCCATAGAAAAGCATCTAAAAATAACCTTTCTCCAAATAATGTGCTGAATTGTTTTTTATGTCTTATCAGTTCATATTCCACATTCATTTGAGTAAAAATAATGCAATATATGGCCAGATACTCCCAATTCACACACCCTCCAAAATAACCTCATAAGCTCTGAAAAAGCTGGTCAGTAAATTCATTTTAAGCCATAGAAAAGCATCTAAAAATAACCTTTCTCCAAATAATGTGCTGAATGGTTTTTTATGTCTTATCAGTTCATATTCCACATTCATTTGAGTAAAAATAATGGAATATATGCCCAGATACTCCCAATTTACACACCCTCCAAAATAACCTCATAAGCTCTGAAAAAGCTGGTCAGTAAATTCAGTTTAAAGCCATAAGAAAAGCATCTAAAAATAACCTTTCTCCAAATAATGTGCTGATTTGTTTTTTATGTCTTATCAGTTCATATTCCAAATTCATTTGAGTAAAAATAATGGAATATATGGCCAGATACTCCCAATCCACACACCCTCCAAAAGAAGCTCTGAAAAAGCTGGTCTTTACCTAGAGTAAATTCAGTTTAAGCCATAGAAAAGCATCTAAAAATAACGTTTCTCCAAATAATGTGCTGAATTGTTTTTTATGTCTTATCAGTTCATATTCCAAATTCATTTGAGTAAAAATAGTGGAATATATGCCCAGATACTCCCAATCCACACACCCTCCAAAATAACCTCATAAACTCTGAAAAATCTGGTAAAATCAGTAAAATTCAGTTTCAGACACAGAAAAGCATCTAAAAATAACCTTTCTTCAAATAATGTGCTAAATTGTTTTTTATGTCTTATCAGTTCATATTCCACATTCATTTCCCTCCAAAATAACCTCATAAGCTCTGAAAAAGCTGGTCAGTAAATTCCGTTTAAAGCCATAAGAAAAGCCTCTAAAAATAACCTTTCTCCATGCGGCAGCTATGGCCTCGTGCAGGCCGTAGGGTCTCAGGACCTGCAGGCCCTCGCAGGTGTTGTATATCTGTCGACACACGAAGATGAAAGCTCCACACAGAGCCTGGGACTGGCTCAGCGGGGGCAGAGCTTCGTCCAGCAGCCTCAGGGTGAACTGGACGATGACGTGAGCAGCAGAGGTTCTGGGAAAGAGAAAGGACATGTGCAGAGCTGAGGGGGATTTTTTGGTTTTGTATCTGTTAGATGTTTGTGTTACATGTGAGCCTTAAAGCAACAACATCTACTGGTTTGTGTTCTCTATACGGAGCCAGAAGGGTTCATGATGACATCTAAACTTCTTTGTTTCAGCAAATCCTGAGAGGATGCTCGGGGTCTCACCTCTCGCCTTGGGCCCCGATGAGGTTTTTCTCATATAAGAACAGAGCCAGACCTCGGTCGGTGTTTGCAATGCGAGCCAGGACGTCAGCGACTAGAGTCAGAGTCGATACGGGAGACTTCAGTTTGACCTGTCGGGAAAACAAAAAAAGAGAAAATGACCGAATTCAATATATGTTTATGTTTATGTTTCTGCATTTGGCAGATGCTTTTATCCAAAGCGACTTACAGAGTAGACACAATATTACAGTGGCGGCTCATGGAAGGCCGTTTTTGTGTTTGTTTTTGTGTTTGTTTTTGTGTTTGTTTTTGTGTTTGTGTTTGTTTTT